TTTGAGAACACTATAGCATGTTATGTCTTTCAAGTGTTTTATATCTATATGCTAGGGTTGTAAGCGATGAGTTGACTATCCAATAAGCAAAAGCTTATCGGAGAGTTAACTAGTCTCTCAACTAGTCACTCCCCCCACTTGCTGCCTCTATCTGAGGGAGCAGGAGCCGTTGCTGCGGGGGAACTGGCTTAAAAGCCGGTTCCCCCCAGCACCATCTCTGCAGGAGGCAGTGGAGGTCGCAGGGGCTGGGCGAGAGCCAGGAATCAATTGATTCCTGGCTCATGCTGAGTCTCAGGACATTGTGCATCTGCTGCCTCTTAATACATTTAAAAAGCAGAAGTGAGGTGAGTGGGACCCGGCGTGAGTCCCCTATCTTTGGCTTTCCGGCTCCTCCCTTCCCCACAGCCTAGCTGAGCTGTATACCAGTTCCCAACCCCCCAAAATCCAGCTGAGCCGCACTCCAGCTCCTGACACCCCTCCCCACAGCCCAGCTGAGCCACACACTCCTCCACTCTCTCCCAGGCTCCTGGCCTCCCCAGTTCCACTGTGTGCTGGGACTTTCTGATCCTGGAACATCCATGATCCTTCCCGACCACAGATATTGCTGGGCCAGAGAGTTCTGGTTTATAGAGGTGCAAACCTGTAGTGGAGACATGTTCAGTACACCAGTAAACTCACTGATGTATCTGTGCTGAGCCTGAAAGCTTTCATCCAAAAAGCTTGGATAATAAAATCTTCAGTGCTACTTTGGTGATACTCACTCATTAGTTAAAACACTACGGCTAATTATAGGACACTATATCTGTCCTGATGAAAGGAAGCAGAGTAATTGAAGGGCTGGGGTTGATTTCATGAGAAGGCCCCTGTATTAATAAAAATACAGGGGCCAAATTCTACTCCCATTTTACTCTGGTATAATTTATTGAAGTTAACCTGGTTACAATCACTTCCCACAGCTCCTATTGGCTGGGAATGGTGATCCGTAGCCAATGGAAGCTTTAACCTGTGGAGGCGCAAGTATATAAAGCAGCAGTGGTCCACCAGGGGCTAACTCTGGTGAATCGAAGCTATCTAGGAGTAGCTGAAAGGTACAGATAGCAGGCTCTAATCTGTTATGCAAATGCAGCAGTGAAGTTGCTGAGAGGTGGATCTGTGGAAATGAAGGCAGAACTCAGCTCCAAGGAGATGAGGAAATCTTACGGTGATAGTAGAGGTGGGTCTCACTAAGGAAGAAGCAATGAAATTGAGCAATGTAAATTTTCCTCTTGATATATGGAATAGCTTCCCAGTGCTGAAATATTTCAGGCTGTGGAATAGTCTATAAGGGTGGTAGCAGAAATGCCATCATTTAGGTCATGTTAACACTACTCTGGCTAATAGCACATGTTCTAGTGCTTTGGGTGTGTGTGTGTGGAGGGAGAGGAGGTGGGAATTGTCTATTTACCAACAAAATTGGGAATATAAGATTTCCTTTTGAGATCTGTGGAATTTGCTGTTTCAGTTTTGGCTGGGAATGTCACAAAACAGCATGTTTTGGATTTGGGGGGCCTTTTGCTTCTATCCAGAGCCTAGAGTGCCTGAAGGTCTTAGAAGAAGAGAACTGGAGGGTTCAGAACAAAAACTAAAAGAAAACAGAATGGGTGACTATGACCCAAATCAGTTCATCCATCCCTCGTCACATTGTGTTACACTTGTTCCAAAGCAGGATTAATGGAGAATACGACATATTGAATAAAAAAGAGTTTCCAGAGGCAACACACATAGAAGTGTGAGGGTTGGTAGCAAATCTGCTGTCTTATCATTGTGCTGCAGTCCCAAGATATACTTACCAATCAGATGTTTAATTTATGCTTTTTGGTCATGTCTGTTGTACATAAACGATTGTGAAGAGGTATTGTACTAATAATATGAGAGATTGCTTTCAGTATCTGCTCTAGAGTGTACATTTTGTCCATTTCTTATCAGGTTTGGCTTCCTTTGGGGAACAAGTGTATCATAATCTCTGTCACTGAAATCAATACTGCTGATCATGTTTTTGTGTTTGTATCACTCCTAAATTGAGTATAATTTTTATGGATAGACAGAAAAGATAGGTCTCTTCCTTAAGAATTAAATTATTTCAACGATGCATTTTGTAACACAGCAATGGTTAATAATCAGCAAAAGGTGCGAGGAAAGATATATAAGGATGGAATTATAACACTGGAAAACCATGGGATGTATTTATTGTTAAATTCCCACCTGGCTGAACATTAAAGTATGAAAAGAAAAATAGTAGCATGGTTTCTAATGCACAGTCTGGTATGCACATTTTTCATTTTCTCATTAAACAGACTCCTTGAGCCATATGTCCCATTGTTTAGAAGTGTGAAATTAGGTATTGATCTAGGAAAACAAAATATAAATAAAAAGTTACTTTAGATCTATGACAGTAAAGAGATAGGTAGGCAGACACTACTGTGCATAGACGGATGGACTCGAAGATCAAGTTGACACCAATTTGGAGACTGAAAAATGTTAGGTAGAGGTTGGGTATTAGTGTGATTTGTATCAAATGTTATTTGACACGGCTTACCTGGCAGTGTTCTCAGCAGTGCTTTGTGGATGAGCAAAATAAAGGAGCATTGGGAAATACTCAAAGCCCAAAGTTTGGGAGGCAAGGCAGTTAAAGAATATGGCGCTAGACTGCGGCTCAGTAGATCTGGATCCTGTTTCTACTACTGACCTCCTCTGTGATTTACAGCAAGTCACTGCTTGTTTTTCGTATTTCTCTATCATTACCTATGAGCCTCCATTGTGAGCAAGAACTGCATTGTGCCAAGCACTGCAAAGACACAGTATTAGGGCGTACCCTGCTGGAATATTGACAAGTTGCCTATTTAGGCTCTCAGTGTCACCAGATCCTGATGCAGACCTCCTCAGCCTCCTTCCCCAGCTACCTGTTGACTTCACTTTCTCACCCCTCTCCTTGTGTACCCTGCTATCTTTTTAACAAAGTCCACAATCCCATTGGGGAAAACAACCAGAGTCTTTAATATGGTCCACAATTCTCTGGTCAACGCACCAATCGCTTCCCCTCCGTGCCTCTGCTTCTCAGCAATGGAGGGAGGGGGAAGGTAGAGGGACCCGGCCTGCCCTCTCCACTGGGTCCCAGCCCAGGGCCTAAGAGGCAAGAGATCACACTCTCTCCACCTCTTTAAGGTTGATGGGGACGCCGCCCATAACATGTCGACCCATGGGCCTTCAGAAACCCTACCCCGGGTCACTTCCTACTTTGGTGGGGCTCATCACACTCCCATTTACACGGTTAGTCCCTAGGGTTGCAGACCCCCTTACAGCTCAAGTATATCGTGAACAATCGCCTGAATCATCCCGAGTCTCCGCGCACCCACTATGACATCAAGGTGCGCATTCCTGGCCAATCTCACCGCGTTGGCTTGACTCTCCCTCTCCCCTTACCGTTGGCAGCATGTCCTTTTCAAAGGAGGCACCACAACGCCATGCCCAGCATCCAGTGTGCCCCGTGGCACGCCTCTCTTCCTTCCCCCTTCCTGCCCCATGCACGGGCGACGTGGACCCGCCACGGCGACTCAGCACGCCTGTGCATGCACAGTCAAGGTGCTGCCGCGGCACCTCCCATCCTCCGCGCAAGGGCAGCAGTGACGGGGAAGTGCAGGGCCCAGAGGTTCCATCACACACAATAAAAAGTCAATGCCTTCTCCCAAAGGATTTACAATCCAATGTAAGACAAGAGACAATAAATAGATAAAGATGGACAGATAGCGAAGTACAAGAGTGCATATACACTGTGCGGTTTTTCTGGAATACTGGAGGTATTCCAAGAAAACTCCGCCAAGTCCAAGGAATGCATTTGCTCATCTACTTTTTTTTGCAGAAGAACATATGCGCTCTTTTGGGGAGCCCTCTATACCTCGTTCTATGAGGGATAAGGGCTCTGCCAGAAGAGGAGGCTTTTCCGCTATTTGGCCCCATCTAGACTGGGCCAAATGACGGAAAAGCCTTTTCCAAAAAAAACCTATAGCCCAAGAGAACGAGACCAAGCCCAAGAGAATGAGACAGCATTGATCACCATGATACCCAGTGGTCTCAGTGCAGCCTAACTGTTGTCAAGTTTGCTGTAAGGTTTACCATGGAGGAGTTTATTGAAGAGTATAGTGAGGTTACTTTGCCAATGTTTACAGGGAGCTTTCTCCAGGCACAAGGAGCAATCTGGGGGGAAAAGCAAAAAGGTGCTTGTATAACTCCAATGGGCAGACCCAAACCTGGGACCTCTGGTGCTTAGTGCATGAGCCTCTACTGCATGCACTAAAAGCCAGCTGGCGCTCAGCTAAGGCTGTAGAGCAGACTTCTTATGCTCTCTGTAAATGGTCTAGGTGCCACTAGGTGGGGCAATGAACCACACCCAGTAGGTGTTACACTTGTTTGAAAATTTCACTGGTGGACATGGACTGATCCCAAGCAGAAGTTGACCACTCAGTAGTAAACGAGAGAAGATAAGTAGGGTGGGGATTGACAATGAAGGTCCTTAGAAGTGAATGCAAGTAGCTGCCATGATCATGAAGAGAGAGCGAGGGGAACAAAGCAAAGGGAATGGTAACATGGTCAAAGCAACAGTCTAGGGAAATGATCTTCACAGCATCATTCTGAGTCCACTTATCCAGGCCAGACCAAAGGAGGGTGCAGGAATTGAGATACAAAATGGTAGGAGCTTGGGTAAGAGTTTTGTGAGTTTAGATATTAAACTCTTCCAAGCAGGGACTGTCTTTTGCTATGTTTTTGTACGCTGCCCCGATCTCAGCCATGTCCTTAAAGCACTAGCATAATGCAAATAACCATAATCAAGTTCTGACTGATTTGAAAGTGGTTAGAATTTTGGCATCTAGTGGGATAGATGGATACTGCTTATATTGATATAATTTTCCATCGAGTGACTACGCTTTCATTTATAGTCATTGCTTTTTTATTCTTTTTCTTTGTAGATGTGCTGTGTCCAAATGTCCATGTAGAAGGAGATCGATTTAAACACACCAATGGAGAGACTGATGAAATCCCAGGTAATCGCAGAGACTTCCCTTCTGCAGTGCAGCTGAGAATTATAATCACGTAAAAATCACATAATGGTGTAGGGCTTACTGAAATGTTCTGACTTTGTCATGGTTTCCCTAATCTAATATATATCCAGTGATGGAGAGAAATATTGGAACCAGCAATGCTGGAAGAACTGATGGTGGGCAGAAAATGAAATGTGAATTTTCATTGTGATGTGGGTGCAAATTGAAAGAGCAGTGGAGCATATCACTGTAGAAATACAGTATTAAGGTACGAAATCTTAGAGAGAGCAGTTTATTTGGCTACCCATGCTGCTAATTGAGGGCTCCATACATAAGAATGGCCATACTGGATTAAACCAAAGGTCCATGCATCCCAGCACTCTGTCTTACAACAGTGGCTAATGCCAGGTGCCTTAGAGGGAATAAACAGAATAGGTAATCATTAAGTGATCCACTCCCTGTCACCCATTCCCAGCTTTTATGACTCTGTAATTGCTCTCAGGTCCCTAGATGCAATGGTGATGGGTTACTAAAGAAACTGGTGGTGGGTTATACAAATCCCACTGTGGCCAGGAAAGAGTTAACAAGCTGCTGTGGCTTAAGTCAGCCCCTCCCCACTACTCCCCTAGTAAGTGTCAGGCTTAGAAGCCTGGTTAAAAAAGTGAGCTCTCTGGGCAAGGAGAGTGCTTGGGCAGCTTCCACTCTGTCAGAGGGGTAGGCTGGGGTCAAGGACTGTCTAGTGGCTGCTATCTGCCAGAACTGCCCTGAAGGAAGGTAGGCATGACACAGGGCTATTGTTCTGATCTGATACCAGTGACTTGCCTGCTGGTGCTGAGTTCGACTGTGTGAAGGAGACACCAGCCCAGTAAACCACTTTTTTTCCACCTGACCAGGGCCCAGCAGTGGTTTTTTAGAAGCTCAGGCATGAGCCAGTCACAGATGTGCAGAGATATGCAGGGATAATAAATAAAGCCCCAAGAACACTCATTTCCTGTGGAACAATTATAGTCAATCAAAGGGCTAGCAAGGCTAGTAACAGGACAGCTTTTTTGGGAGCTTTGGTGTGTCTTTTCAGCCATCTGTGGGCCAGATTCGGTCATTCACAAGTGGGCATAATTTGTGCCTCTTTTATAGCTTGCTGATGGTGGCAGGAAATCCTGGGATTGAAAACCATCAGGAAAATTCCTGGAATGTTTGTCTGAATCAAGAAGTCTGGCCACAGCTCTGGGAGCCATTGGGCGCATGTCTACACTAGGGAAATTATTTCAAAATAATTAAATTTGAAATAATAACTCCAGAAATAACAAAATCGAAAATAGCCTGTCTCCCCACTATGGAGGAGCCTCGAAATTAGTCTGAGGCAGGCTCTGTTAATGTGGATGTGCTACCTTGATGTAGAACCCCAGGAAGCACTGGGGAATAATTACTTGGAATTACTCTGGGGTGTAATTATTTTTAAATAGCAGCAATGAAGAATCCACACTACCGCTATTAGGAAATAACTATTTCAACATTAGCATTATTCCTCGAGGAAAATAGGAGTACAGATTTCGAAATAACAGACTTAGTAGTTATAACAGTAGTAAATAACAGACCCTCGGCTTATTATTTCAAAATAAGGGGGAATATTAAGGGAGCAGACCAGGACTAACATGGCCTAGACTTGGGAGGTGGTATGGGGTGTCAGTTCAGTCACTCCCATTTTCATGCTGTTTTTATCAGCAATGGTAGGGTTTCATCTAGACCTCGGTCATCGCAGGGTGACAGCATCTTTATTGTTCCATGGACTCCTCTAAAAGGGAATTCCCCATAAATCATCTCTGGCCTGAATTTTAACTTTTGCAGGACTGTAGTCCAGCTCCTGGCATTGATTCTGCAAGTAGCCCCACTGATATTAAATCAGTTTGTTCAGTGTTAGCTGCTACTCCTAATAGGCAAGAAAACTGGCACGTCTCCCCTAAGTAATATCGACTGGGTAGTCTTTCCCAACAAACAGGTGTTGTAAATGGCATGTCCTCCACTATGTATCTGACTGGTACGGTGGGTCACTTGTTTCATAAATCTCTGCCTCACTTTGCCTTTAGTAACTTTTCAATGTATTTTCAGTTGAGCACTGAAAAAGCAAAACATCCCTTTTATCAATCACTTTTGGTCCATTGCAGTAATTCCCAGTAAAATGAAGTTAGTTTTCAATGTTAACTCTTCTTTTACTCATCTCTTCTTCTAGACAGACAATAAATCGATATCCCACATTTCCACTTCCCAGATGATATATACTTAGTTATTCTGGCCAGATTGATAGCACAGGGCAGTCATTTATTGAGGCCAGTGTCTCTCTCTTAAATCTAAAGTAAAAAGGTTGTCAGGACTGTGAGGTGACTTCATAACCAGATTATTAAAGTAACAGATTACAGTAGCGGGTAGCTTTTTTTCCCCCCATCAAGCTAATTCTTACAGGTGAGAATTCTTAGCAGGGAGGGATAGCTCAATGGCTTGAACATTGGCCTGCTAAACCCATGGTTGTGAGCTCAATCCTTGAGGGGGCCACTTATGGATCTGGGGCATATGGTACTTGGTCCTGCAATGAGGGTAGGGAATTGGACTCAGGGTCCCTACTAGTTTTATGAGATGGTATAACTAGCCAGCTTTCCGTTCTTCAAAGTAAGCAGGATTTTTTTTCTCTTCCTGCGATTCAAGAGAAGTCAGTCTTCTCTGTGGGACAGGATTGGACTCAATGTTCCAGCACTCTGCTTTTGGAGGTAGATGCAATGTAAGTTGGATGGATAAAAATCCATGATTGGAATGAACTGATTTTTTAAAAAAATTTAAATAAAATTCATTTTTCCTTTAAAAAAGAAACCTATCTAAAAATTAAATTCTGAACTTTTGACAACAGAAGTTAAAGGTTAATCTTATTAAAATGTATTAATAATCACCTAGTCAACATAAAAAGTAATATTGAAGCAGTATATGTTTGCACCAAGCTTTAAAGAAAGGCAGAGCACATAACAGGAGGAAGCCATTGGACATCTGGCATTGGCCATTGTCGGCAGACAGGATACTGGGCTAGATGGACCTTTAGTCTGACCCAGTACGGCCGTTCTTATGTTCTAAGCACCTAGAACCAGAAGTGGTTGAAATGCTAAACCAGTTTTTGACAGCAGTGGTCATCGGTGGTGAAACTATCTATCTAGTTATATTGTAGTAGCATTGTCTAATTATTTATTGCTCTGTAAATTAATTTTAATTAGTCCAATATTCTGTTCACTTTTTTGACTGTCACCGAACATCGAGTGAATGTTTTCAGAGACACAATGACTCCAAGATCTCTCTCTTCAGTGGTAACAACTAGGCTGTGTCTAGACTGGCAAGTTTTTCCGCAAAATCATCTGCTTTTGCGGAAAAACTTGCCAGCTGCCTACACTGGCCGCCTGGAATTCGGCAAAAGCACTGACGATCTCATGTAAGATTGTCAGTGCTTTTGCGGAAATACTATGCTGCTCCCGTTTGGGCAAAAGTCTTTTTCCGAAAGACTTTTGCGCAAAAGGGCCAGTGTAGACAGCAGAGATTTCTTTTCCTCAAAAAAGCCCCGATCGCGAAAATGGTGATCGGGGCTTTATTGCGGAAAAGCGCGTCTAGATTGGCCACGGACACTTTTCCGTAAAAAGTGCTTTGGCAGGATGCTTTTCCGCAAATCTAGACGCGCTTTTCCAAAAAGTGCTTTTGCAGAAAAGCGTCCTGCCAATCTAGACGCTGTTTTCCGAAAATGCTTTTAACGGAAAACTTAAAATAAATACATCGGGATGGTGTGAGAATTATTTCATGTTTATACATTGCCTACAAAACACTAAGTGTCACTAAATTCCTTGACATTTACTATACTAGACATTTTCCCTAGTGTCATGACCTGATCCCATTCTTCTTTCCTAAATTCCCCTTATATTGTCTATTGTGTGTGATTGTTGTCAAATGTCCCTCAAGATTTTAGAACTACAGGTTGAACCTCCCTAGTGTGGCATCCTCTGGTCTGGCAACATCCGTAGTCAGGCATCAGTTTAGTTAGCCGGAAGTCCACTTATCATGGGTGTGGCCAAGTTTCCCGTGGTGCCATAAAGTTTGTTTAAGCCACCAGCCCTGGCTCAGTGTTCTGTGCTGTTATTTAGCTCTAATTTATGCCTAAATGTCTTCCAAGAGCCCAGTAAGCAGTGGAAGTGTTGGTAATGCGTCTAGACAATATTGACCTTCCGTGGCTTGGCAAATTCTCTGGTTCGTCATCGTTCAAGTCCTGAGGGTGCCAGACTAGAGAGGTTCAATCTGCAGTAGCTATCCTCTCATACTGAGTTTTATTCATAGACTGGAAGAGGAAAACAAGCTTTCCTGCCTGTTCCATCCCAAATTGTACCTCAAGTCCCGGCTTGACAAAGCCCTGGCTGGGATGATTTAGTTAGGGTTGGTCCTGCTTTGGGCCGGGGATTGGACTCGATGACCTTCTGAGGTCTCTTCAAACTCTTATGATTCTAACTCCAAATGAACTAGTCATTTCACTGGACTAGTTGAATAAACTTGAAATGGAGGTATCATTCAGCCTGTACCCACACAAGAGAACACTGTCAGGGGATGCTGGAATAATTGTTATCCTGTGGGGTGTTAAGAATCATTGAATCAAACTAAACCTTGTATATAACAGAAATCATTTCAAGCCAAGAGGTCACACACAATAGACAATATCACACACAATAGACAATATAAGGGGAATTTAGGAAAGAAGAATGGGATCAGGTCATGACACTAGGGAAAATGTCTAGTATAGTAAATGTCAAGGAATTTAGTGACACTTAGTGTTTTGTAGGCAATGTATAAACTCTCATTTCAGAAAAGGCAAACTGGAATCGGAAAAGGTTCAAAAAAGGGTAACAAAAGTAATTAGGGGCATGGAACAGCTTCTGTATGAGGAAAGATTAAGATTGGGACTTTTCATTTTGAAAAAAGAGACAACTAAGGGA